CCCCCCGCACTCACAACACCCCAGGTCCAGCCCCCCCCCGCACCCCAGTTCCAGCGCCCCCCTCGCACCCCAGTTCCAGCGCCCTGGGGGCGGCCGCAGTTTAATGGTTAACCCGGCTGACAAAGGCTCCTGTGCGGCTGGTCACAGATTTACAGACCCCGCGGCTGCAGGACTCGGGCAAAGTCCGCCCGGCCCCGCCCGGGAGCTCCCCGCGCCCCAGCGCCCGGCTCCCCGGCCCCTCACCGCCGCCGGGTCCCCACTGCGGGGCTCTAGGGCCGGGCTTCATCGCTCCGCATCCCGGGGCTGGGCAAGGGGCCGATCCTGTCGCCGGGCCCGCAGCCGCGCGCAGGGCTCTGGGCTGGAGCTGCCGGGCGGCTCCTTCCCCCGGGCGCCCCGGTCGCGCTCTGCGGGTCCCGGCGCCGCCTCCTCGCCTCTGGCGGCAGCGCAGGAGGGGCCGCTGGGCGTGCGGAGCGGAGCGCAGCGCTCGGGTTACACCGAGCCACCAATGGGCCGCCCCCGCCCCGCCCCCGGCCGGCCCTGCTCCGCTCCAGCTCGGGTCAGCCGCATGCCTGCCCCCGGGCGCCTTGGGGCCGAGCCCTGCTTCCTCGGGGCCGGGCAGCTGCAGCCAGCACGGAACGGGGCTTCCCGGGGGGGCCCAGCCAGGCAGGGCCGTCACCGAGGGGAAGCACCGCTTCCCAGCCCCTGCCAGGAGCCCTTCTCCCCTGCTGCCATGGCTGGGGGGAGGCAGGGGGCTGCACTAGGCGACCTCTTGAGGACCCTTCCTGTCCTATGAGTCTATGACCCCCTGGCCCTGGGATCTTCTGCCCATCGCCAAAGAGCTGTCTCCATGCCCTCCCCCCCACCCCAGTGTGTGCAGAGCGCACGCAGCATTGACACACGGCACTCTGGTCTGCGGAACTCACTGCCACAAGATCTCAGCTCACAAGGGCCTGGCAGAGTTCCAAAGGGGACATGCAGAGGGACAGACCCCACTGGTGTCAGGCCTTTAGCTCACGGCTCGCAGGGGTAGAAATGCAGGCTCAGGACCAGTCTCACCTGGGCAGGCCAGAGGGGAGGTTAGACCATCTCGTCTGACCTGCCTTGCACAGGCTGGAGAACCTCCCTCCACTCACCATCAGCTTGGGCGTGGGACTAGAGCAGAGCCGTCTGGGAGGATGCCAGGACTCCAGGTGCTGGAGAATGCAGCCGGAGCCCGTCCCCTGGTAATTCCTGTGTCTTGTCACCCTCCCCTGGAAAAATCCCATCTTGTGTCACCTGGAACTTTTCTGCCTTTGCCTGTGACCTGGCGGAGCCCTGTTGCGCTAGCCCCGATATAGACCCGTAACCGAGCCGGTCCCTGCCCAGAAGAGTTTCCAGTCCAAGGGCCGGTCTAGAGGGGAACCGTCACCAGCGTCACTACAGCCGTGTGACCCTAACACAGCGCTGCCCAGCCGGAGTTAGACCGGAGCGCCCCAGGGCTGTGCTCACCTCAGTGTGGTGAGGCCAGGACAGTTCCCCAGGGAGACAAGCTCTAAGTGCAAACGGAGACCACCAGCCACTGGGACAAACTCCCCAGGGCCGCAGGGGTTCTCTGTCTCTCGGGGGCGTCAGAGCCAGGCTGGTGCTCTAGCCGAACACAAGTGACTGGGCTCAAGGCAGGGGAAAGGGGGTGAAACCCTCCGGCCTGGGCTAGGGACAAGCGCAAACGAGATGGTCGTGGCTCTGCTTGCCCTTAAGCTCTAGGCATAGGAGACCCCAGGTGGGTACAAAAGCCAGGCGAGGGGACCCAGGGAAGGGGGGTGATGCTGGGCAGCCTGCCCGCCTTGCCATGTGCTCCGTAGGTATCACGGGGGGGACATAAGGGCACATGCTGGCTGACCCAGGGCCCTTCCTGACCCATCCCACCCGGCCCTGCAGCTCTTGAGTCCATCTCCCTGGAGCCAAACAAACGCACATTCCACAGGGGTCTCAGCGACCCGCCCCCCAGCCAGCTGCGTTATCTTCCCCCACCACCGGGCATTTCAAACCGGGCCCTGCCTCCTGCCTCAGGCCCCGGCCCTGCCTTCGGCTGCATGTCAATGGCCGGCCAGGAGGGGCCCATAGTCTGGCTGTCCTGGCTCCTGGCCCACAGGGATCTGGGCTTTGTGTCTGCTCTGTGTTAGCTCCGCACATTCATGACTGTGGGGCCCAGGGCCCTCCCTGCTGCATGGGGCAGACGCCAATGGTACTTTTATTAACGGCTCCTCCAACAGGCCAAACTCTGCGGGGCCTTTTGATATGCAAACCCCTCATCTGCAGGCCGCCCCAGCCCCCAGCCCAGCCCCTGGGCTCCTCAGGGACAGAAGGGCTAAGGGGGAACTGCCCCAGTATCCTTGTCCCTTCTCCTGCCCCCGCTCCGATCATACATAGGAAGCCAGCTGCAGTTTCTGTGCTGGCCTGACCAGGTGCTGCTCCGTTACCCCCGCAGTGCCCCCGGGAACGGAAAGTCACTGAGCAACAGGGTCTAGCTCCTCCCGTGGGACCAAGCCAGACCCGGTGACCCCGGGAGCCACAAGTGGGAGGCCACTTGGCCTGCTCTGCCCTGGCCAGTGTAAGCGGCACAGCATGTGGCCGTGTGGTCCCACGGATCCCGCCATGCCCGATCCAGGCGTCTGCCCTTCTCTCCCCTGCAGCTGTACTGGGAAAACCTGCCGGTGCAGGCTCCAGGCAGAGAGAGGTGCCCCCAGCCCTCCCAGGGCCTGTCTTCTCTAGAGGGCTCCTTGTGTGGCGACCCCCCAGGGCCACGGTAAGGAGCCCCATGTCAGGGCAGGGAGAGCTGGGGCTTGGTTAGCCAGGAGGGGCCCGGCCCCTGGAGGCCTGTTTAACCCCTCAAGGGAATCTCTCTAGTGAGGTTCTGGAGTTGTGGGAGGAGTTTGATGGCAGCCACACACCCCAGCCCCAGCCCCCCCTTTGCCCCAGCCATTCCCCCCCCCCCCCCCGACGTGACCGGAAAAGGCACCAGCTTTACTGCGGCAAAGTCCCAGGTGGCTCCCTGACATGCAGGCCACGGCGATTCCCCAACACGGGCACCAAATCACACACAGAGACACACACACAAAGACAAAATGCACACACAGTCCCCCCACACACACACACTGTACACTCATCTCCCCCCCCCACCCACACTGTACACACAGATACACCCCCCCACACATTGTACACACACAGACACCTCCCCGCCACACACACACTGTACACACACAGACACCTCCCGCCACACACACACTGTACACACACAGACACCCCACCACACACTGTACACACACAGACACCTCCCGCCACACACACACTGTACACACACAGAGACACCTCCCCCCGACCACACACTGTACACACAGAGACACCTCCCCCCCACACACACTGTACACACAGAGACACCTCCCCACACACACACACTGTACACACACAGAGACACCTCCCCCCCACACACACTATACACACAGAGAGACACCTTCCCCCCCCACACACTGTACACACACACACAGAGACACCTCCCCCCACACACACACTATACACACACACAGAGAGACACCTCCCCCCCACACAGACACTGTACACACACAGACACCCCCCCACACACTGTACACACACAGAGTCACCTCCCCCACACACACTGTACACACACAGACACCCCCCCACACACTATACACACACAGAGAGACACCTCCCCCCCACACACTATTTGCAGAGATGAACCAGCCGCGGGTTGCCGTGTGGGACACCTATCTCCCACCCTGGCTGCTGGCGTCCGGGAGGAAGGAGCCTGCCCGGCCGGAGCTGGGCTGGAGGTGAGCGGCTCACCAGGAGCAGGGCCTCCTTGTAATTTATGACTGAGACACGGAAAGGGGAAGTGATTTGCCCGAGCTCACCGGACGGGGCTGGGAACAGACCCCAGCGCCCTGCCCTTGGACCCAGCCTCAGAGCCGGCCTCGGCCTTCAGCTCGCTGCCTGATTTGCCCATTCACGGGGCTCAGCCTGTGTGACCCTGCAGAAACCACTCGATATCTGCTCTGCACTGAGGCTTTTCACTGCTGCTTGTTTGGGCGGGGGTGGGGGAGAGGACACTGCTTTTATTTCCAGGGCATTTTCAAATCCAGGACAATAGAAACAAATGAGAGTTAAAATGTGTATGGAATCCAAAGTGCTGGCTGGGTGGATTCAGTCCCAGGCCTCAGCTGAGAAGTGTCCTTTCCCGTTGGATTTTTCTCATCTCTTTGGGCTGTGTCCGGTACAGCCGGGTGACGGGCAGGTCAGGCTGTGTCCGGTACAGCCGGGTGACGGGCAGGTCAGGC